CGTTTCCATTTGAAACATTTGCCAGAAATAGTGGAGGCTTCCATCTGGAATTAATTCTTTTTTTCCATACGCCCCAGCCAAAAAGCTGCAGTTGAGGTATTTGGCAAATTAAGAGAGCAATCTTAATGCAAAATGTGCGATGTCAATTGTGATAACTAGTTGTCTCACCTCACGCAGACTCGGAGAAGTGGGAAAGTTGGAGTACAAGGACAGTGTCAGTGTCAGTGAAATCCCCTTGTGAAAAATGACCCGCTATAGCTTTGTACGCGTCATGTTGTACTGGGGTATTGATGGCCCTCAGTCTAATCTGTTGGTTTTGTCGTCGTCGTCGTTGTTGTTGTTGTTGTTGCTGTTGTTGTTGTTTTGTTTTGTTTTTCTGTTGTTGTTTTTTTTAATTGAAAGGGGGGGAGCACATGGCACTCTGCCAACTTGGCTCTGGCCCATTAAGAACGAACATTAAATTTAAAAATCCTTCTTCATAAAATCTTTCAGATCTAGAAAGGGTGTGATCCCATACCATTTTATATTATGGCTGATCAAAAACAGTTTTTTTAACCCAATAATTGTTTAAAGCTTCTTAAAGACGAGCGAGTAAAAATTCATTACCGCGACCCAGTAGCCTACGTACAAACCAACTGCACTGAGAGATGAAGGTCTGCTGATTTGTTTGTAAGAGTTTTACCTCGCTCGCAACTGCATAATGTCATAATACGAGCGCACAGGACAAACCGAACATTTTCAGTTGGTAGGAAATTTGGAATTTTGCCCAGGTGGCTGCAGAAGCCTACTCTAATCGATTTTGGACCACAATTGGATCTTTAACCTGCGCAACCTGTAAACGGGACCTCCAAGATTTTTCACCCTTGTCCGAGAAAGCCATTTGTTCTATCTCACCTACCATAAGATCAGGGGTGTAGTTGATAGATAGCAGTAAGAAGAAGCCCAGGAATAGCAGTAGAAAGGCTGCAGAAAGAGTCAGGAGCCCAGGGTATGGGGTCAAAGGAGGTGAGGGGGTGGAGGCAGAAAGGGGAGACAAAAGCAGGCAACTGAACATTGTAAGAGAGCAAGAAAGGAGGTGAAAAAAGAAACTTTTCCGTCGCTTTCCGGATGCGAACCGGGACCTATTGAATGAGAGATGAACACCATGACCTCTATACCACGAGAGCCCCCGATGAAGGTCTTGCAGTCAGGCAGTAATTACCCCATGAGCTGTAGCAGGGTTACCAGAAGAAAAGAAAAGAAAAAATACATTCTTTGTAGTTAGGTGTTTTACACCCCCACAGACATACTTTAGATCATGTAGGCGGCGGGCTTCTGACTCTGCCTGCCTGGGTCAACCCTGGCTGAGAGTGCGGAGAGGAATATTGTGTCCTGGCCCAGCATAAAGACCAAGATACTGGATAAAAAGGTCGCTTTTAAGCACTAGAGGGCTATCCCGAAAAATGCTGTTTTGAGAAAATCGAAGGTAAAGTTTTTCCCAATTCTTCAGTTTCTTGAAAAGACAAGGCGAGTTTTCTCTATAACCAAACAAATATTCACACCAATGAAACCAAACTTCTCCTATAGGTAGGGCAACGCCCACTTTTGGTGTAAGGTAAGATTTCTAGAAACCCCCAAAATCTGGGCCTAGCCCGCTTGTCCTTAAAAGCGACCAAATGTTGTCCCAACTCGATCGGGTCTCCTGTGTGCGACAGCGGGAAGCGCCTAACAGCTTCACCACAGACACCGGTAAAGAAAAGGAAAGAAAAGTAAAAGAGAGTTTTAAAATTTATGCAAGTTTAAATGACATATGAACTTGAACACATGGATAATTCTTACGATTTTTTTTTATTAATTACTTTCGTATTCCAAAGGCGACATACTATACCGAATCGGAGTCTACTGTAATTTCGTAAAACAGTACATTGAGGTTTTACTTACAAGTAAAACAACGTCAGAATTTTTAAAAAGTGTAGGTTTTTTTTGTTGGGGTTTTTGTTTAAAGGAAGATACTATAATATTGAACTGTACATACAATTATATAAAAAAAGAGCAAGGGACAGAGAAAGTTTTAAAAATCAAGAAACGCAAAACTTTACCGAAATCTACTTTGAAACATTTAAAGTGTCTCAACAGCTGATCTGATGAAAAAAAAAAAAAGAAAAATTGTGCCGACAGTACACCAAACCATAAACACTAACACATTCGCATTATTTTGTGCTGGAGTTTTGTGGGTAAGAACACGCCATTTTATTCGCCAGTCCCATAAGTCTATAACTTTAAATAGATGAGCAGTGATAACTTAGTACGGTACTGATGGAAACAGACTTTTCAATGCTGACATGCGATTATTGCATTGCTTGGACAAGAAATGATTATATAATTTTCTTTGCTAAAAAGTTCTATACTGTGAGCTACGGTGTAACCCACATCCTCGTGAAAGCGATATCTTATTAAAAGCTGGAAAGAGAAAAGGAGAAAGGGGGAGAAAGAGCGAACGAGAGTGAGAGAGAGAGA